GCAGAATATATATATTTTTTTTATCTTGCAAAATTAGAGGTGAGTGAGGATCACAATCATCACATTAAGAATCTCTAATGCATAGTACACAAAAAGCAGCAAAGTACTCGTAATATTTGTACCTTATTTACCATTATATCAATTAAAAGTTCTTAACTTTAAAATACTTATCATAACTAGAACTTCAATGAGCTTTGAAAAATTCTGACAAAAATATGAAGTCAATCGTATTTAATATAATTTCGATAGCAACCCCTTTTATAATGAAAATAAAAATTCTTCTAAAATACACCATCCAGCTCATGTCAAATATCCAGTTTTGATGTGACACATTAAGGTTTGGATATATATTGATTGTGTTTTCGTTAAAACGGATTGTTCAAACTAAATTGATGCACGTTTGGTCAATTTTGTTTCTTTGGTTTTGCATCAAATATAAAGGAAATGAAAACAAACAAAAATCGATCCAAATGAGCTGACCATAGGGTGTTTCAAATCCAGATTACGCAATAGTAATACAAATACTAGACTCAATAGCATGAAAACTCCAAGACTAATTTGAACTTCAGAAGACATTTCGTACGGAAAAGACTATAACCAAAATATTTCCTAATCTGGATTTCATGTCCATATGGGTGAAAATTTCAAACAACTGGGAATCCGTTGACCGACGAAGTTTTCCCCGATCCCATGAAGAGTGTTTGCAGCAAATCGCATCATGCGGTTCATCTTTATTTTTGAGAATTTTAATTAGGGCATCCTAAACGGCAAGCTCTTCATGGGTTTCTAGTATTAAAAAAATAATAAATAAGGGTTTTTAATAAAAAAAATCTCCTCAACTATTACTTGATCTTGAAAAATCCTCTCAACTTTTTTTTTGGAAAAACCCCTCAACTATAATTCGTTAGTGAAATCAATCCTCCGTCTACAATAACGTTTAATCCCAATAAAAATTGTTGTCTTTTGTTACAAAAACGACAAAACGTCTTAAATATTGACCAAAACAAAATATTGACCAAAACATTAAATTGTTTACATGAAACCAACAGAAGTACGCAAAGAAGAAATTATCTGCAACT